TTTGGGGGGGGGGGTCTGCTTTAAACTACCAACTGGAAGATGGTAACAGGACCTACCTTCCAGAGATGCTAATAGGACCGAGTGTAGGCACTCAACCCAGGTTAGTTACGGTCCACCTCCCCAGGGAATGGGCCCGATAACCTGGACCTTCACTTCCTCACACGTGTGTACTTCTCCCCATCTCAGCCTCAGCCTTCTCAAGTTTAATGCTTTGAGGCTTTTAAAAATTGTTCTAGTTGCCATATGTTATTAATGTTTAGGGGAGTATAAAAAGATCAGACAATTACCTTAACAGGAATCATTTTGCCCAAGGATTCAAAAAAGAAAACATTTAGGTTTGGTTGCCTTTCTTGTTTCTTTAATGTAATTTTCATTTTTCAAGGGTAATGTAACTGAACCTACAGGCATTATGCTAAAAATAACTTTAAAATTATTTTAGTCCTATTTTTCCACCATCTGAGATATCACAGTAAAAACAGACTAAGTGGCAATCATTTTGTTTAACAAATGGGGATTAAAAAACAAAAGCCTCTATGCAGTCACCATAACTTTGAGAAAACCTATGCTTCGATTTTTTGTCATCCATTCAGACTTTGAGATTAGTAGTTGGAATTAATTTCAAACACAAATGTTAGTTCAATTTCTGTGAAGTGCATTTACAGACCCAGGTGACTATGTAAAATGCAGTCTCTACCATTACCTTTTTCTCAGTTAATCTGGATGAGAATCAGCTTATACACCATGTAGATGAATAGGCAATATGACTATTTCCAAGAACATTTCTGGCATCTATAAACTTGATTTCAAGAATTCGGTTATTTTTCCTCATCTTAACATTTAATTTAAAAATATGGGAATTTAAAAATATTCTGATGTTTTCCTCTAGGCCACTAGGAGGCAGCAGGGGACCATCACTGAATTAAAGGACTGGAAGGAGGCTGGCAGGACTACACTAATGAATTTCTTTCTGACAGCTGTATTAATATTGTTAGACTGGTGAGACATCTTTTGATGTTTAAAAAATTCCCCATTATACATTTCTTTTATTTAATAGGAATACATATATTTTGATAGCTTTAAGAAAGAAATTAAGAAATAGTCAAGGAAAGAACTGAAAAAATTCAAAGTAAAAATCTGTTTAATGAAATAAAAAACTATTATAAGATTATAGTGGATAAAGTATATTAAATAAGTGTGTGTTTCCCTGCCACTGGGAACTATGTGGTGAAGACTTGCTCTTTGGGGCCAGACAGACCTGGGTTTGAATCTGGGCTGGATCATGTACTAACCGTGGAAACTTGGACAGTTTGCTTAGAGTCTCTAACTAAGCCTTTGTTTTCATTTCTCTGGAATGGGGAGAAAAGGCCTTTCTCAGGAGGTGTTTTGCGTAGGGTGAAATATGAACATTAAGTACTTAGCACAGTGTGCGTGGGCTCAAGAAGGTGGAGCTGAAAAAGAATTCGATTCTAAAAGGATCAGGAAGTTGGGTAAAAAAAGTACAACTCTATTGTGACCATTTTAACACGTAAAGGGAAAAGTGCCCCGAATACACACCCAGCGTGGGAGGAGGCCCGGTATGTGAGCTAGTCTTCTTTCGTAAGGGCCTATAATTGCCCTTCGGAATCCCTTTGGTAGTTTTGAATTTCCAGGAGACAGGTAAACAATAGGTGGGGCACCTCAGAGACACTGCCATCGCTCAGAAGGGCATTCCAAGGCACAGGCCAGCAACCAAATGACTAACCGGGAAGAAAACGCCATCGCCTCTCTGCATGAGCCACCCGACCTCCTGGAGCACCTGACGAAATGGGACTCACGCCTCAGTCAAAGCACAGACCTATGCACATTCATTTCCTGGGTGCAGGACAATTGCCCACAGCCCCCGAGAAGGTGCCACAGATGCTTTTCAAAAAATACAGTGCGCCAAGTAGACTCTCTCCTTCCTGAGAAACCTCAGTTCTCCGTATTTCCCACCCAGCTCTACTGTCAGGACCATCATCCCATTTTCTGCCCCACTTCACTCCTCCCCGCCCCACATGGTCCATGTCACCACCCACGTGGAGCATCCTCGCTCTCGCGCCCCTGACCACCTCTAGCACTCACTCATGGCTGCCCCCAGAACCTTACTGTCCCCCAGACCTGCCCGGCCTCTCAGGCAGGACTCTACAGGGCCTTTCTTCAACTACAGATCTCGATATTTCCAGCTCCCCACCTTCAACCTTGCTGAGCCAGCACTCCTTCAACCCAGACATATTTTCCCAGTTGGTTTCACTGTCTGATCAGCCTAGAAATCCTGTTCGATCACTGTCCGCCTCCTTGCCCTGTTAACCTTCCCTCTCACCAACCCCCACCCTTGGGGAACCCACGTGTACCCAGGTTCCTCTACACTGGTTTCTGAGTCTCTGAGCAGACTTGAAAATGACCTCATCACACTGACTCATGGTGGCTGCCTCGCTTGGTCTTGGATGCTGTTCACAGGTTCCTGTGTTTATCGAGTGTCCTGAATGTTTCTACTTTCCCTCAGGCACCAACCCCATCTTTGCTTCACTCGTCCAGCAAATGACATGACCACCGACTTCAGTGAAATCAAACCTTTGATCTTCCCTCAAATCCATCGCAAAGCTTCTCTATCCATTCTCATCTTTCTTCTCTCTCAGCCCAGGGAAGATGTTTCTAAAACTGACCCCCAGACCTGTGCTTTTGATCCCCCCCAGGGTCACATTCCAAGATCCCTCCCTCCCTTATCTTTACCATCTCCCGTTTCCCTGTCTTCAACCCGTTTACTTACATCCATGACATTTTTCACCTACAAAAAGTGTCTTGCTTTGATCTTACCTTTCCTCAAACCACCACCTTTTGTTTTTTCTGAACTCTTTAAAAAAACAAAAGCCTACACTCAATCTGTTCCTTCTTTCCCCCCTTTTCCTCCTCTAACCTAATACACTCTCTCCCCTGTCTCTTGGTGGGCAAATCTGGTATCTGTTTTTCTGTCTGAATCTGTTTTGACCTGGGCAGCACCTGAGGCTCCTACATCGCTCTCTGTCTTTGAGAGTCTGTCCTTCCTTCATTACCACACCTTTCTCCTCTGATTTTCTTACTACCTCATTGCTACTCCTCCTTTGGCTATTCCCCAAATCCCCCACCCTGCTGCAGATCACTCAGATGTTGGGATTCCCAAGGGTTCTTCTCCTTTACACGTTTTGATGGGTCACCCTATCAACTCTCAGGGCTTCAATTACTGTCTGGGTGGAGAGAGCCTCCAGATCCACAGCTTCTAAGACCTGAATTTCCACCTGCAGCTGACCTGCCCTTGCACATGTATCAGTGCTCTGCTCTCTCCCTTTCCATCCAACCAGTTCCTCCCCTTTGCAGTCTATCCTGGAGCTTACAACACCATCCTCTTGGCCCAACTCCTCACTCATCCTTGGCTTTTATTTCTCCCTCTCAAGCATTTAGTGGGCAAAATCCTGTTCCCTCTGCCCTGTGATGGGTTTTCACACCTGCTCCCTCTTGTATGCTGTGGCTCCCTGACAGTGCCCCTCATCTCTTTTCTAGATTATTGTGGTACCTTGTGAATTCCTCTCCTGTCTCCTGTCCCACTCCTCCCACTCACTGTCACAGTGTTCCCAAAGTTACACTCTCAGGACACGGGGCAAACCATGCTACGCCCTTCTTCCAAAACCTTTAGTAGTTTCCCACCAGCAGTACAACCCAGACTCCTTAGTGTGTGGGGTCAAAGCCCTTCACTCCCAGTTGCCTGCCTTCCACTTCTCCAGCCTCACCTCCAACTCCATCTCCTGAGGACTCAGCTCTTGGGCATCTCTGTTTTGTGTATGCTTCTCCCTCAGCCTGGTTTTCCTTTTCCATTTCTCCCACTTCATAAAAATGTTCTTCATCCCTCAAAACATTGAAAGGCATTTTCCTTCCTCTCCCCACTCGACTGTAACTGAACACTTTACCCGTCCACAGCTCTTGGCTTATACCTTTATTAATTCATCATATTTAACAAACAGTAAACAATACAGGGCTAGCTCCCTCGTCTGCAGATCCTCTCATGGCCGGGCCTGGGCCTGGCTTCCCTCACCTTCCCACAGAACCTAAGCCGGCTTATTCACCACAGGCGTTAGTGCACCTTTGAATAATTCTCATAGCTCTCTATATTTTCTACTCACTCTCTAGAAACTTACTTAGTCTTTTCCTTATTTTCTCTTCTTTCAAGCCCCAAAGGAAAACAACAATTTTAAAACCCCTCATCCCTGGCTCGTTTTGCTCAGTGGTTAGAGCGTCCGCCTGTGGACTGAAGGGTCCCAGGTTCGATTCTGGCCAAGGGCATGTACCTCGGTTGCAGGCTCGATCTTTCTCTCTCTCTCTCCCCCCCCCTTCCACTCTCTCTGAAAAGCAATGGGGAAAATATCCTCATGTGAGGATTAAAAAACCAAACCAAAACAAAAAAACCAAAAACTCTCCACAGAGTATCTCTACATGTGAATTTTCTCACTCTATGTATATGTGTGGCTGGTTTAGTTGGTCCCTGATGGGCCCATCTCTCTCTTTTCTTTATTTGAGGTTGAATGTTCATTCCCTCCAGGCTGCCTTCCTGGGACCGGATTTCCTTGCATTTCAGTTCGTTGGCCCCTTGTCTCACCTTAGCTGGAATCTTGGCCACGTGATTCTCCAGGATCAGCCTCTTCAGGTGCAGAATCCACAGCCGTTTGTCCTGCTGCGATTTCGCCTACAGGAAGGAGATTCGGACAGTCAGATGCCCCCTCCTCCACCACAGACAAGACTCAGACACTCCTCTGACCCCCGGACAAGATGGAAAACACACCATGTGGCCAGAAAGCTCTAGAAAGGCTGCCTGGCGGGTGCGGGCGTCGCGGGCCGAGGGTGAGGCCTACCTGCACGGTGTGCTGCAGCTTGGGGTTCTTGTAGTGGAAGACGCTGAAGCTGAGCGGCTCCTTGGGGATCACCTCCACCAGCATGAGGTTGCCACACTGCGCAGGAGAGCAGGCAGGTGAGCACGCGGGGAACGGGGGAACGGGCCACCCGGGGCCTGCACGAGACCCACGCGGACACCTACCAGGATGTGAGCCTTGTACGTAAATGTGTCATCCCTCTTCTTTGTGATGAGGAGCAGCTTGTCGAAGAGGAACAGGGTCCGCTCGTTCTTGGCCCGCTGGAGCCGGAAGGTTCCCTCGAGCACCAGCTCCCCGTAGCTGGTCAGGTCTGGCCCCTTCCAGTTGGTCAGCAGACTCTGAATCTCCTGGAAAAAGTGAATGTCCCAGGAGGTTAAGCAGGGAGGCGAGGCGGTGAGGACAGGTGGCCCATTTTGTGAGCCTCCAGAATGGTGTCTAAATATCTAGTGGTGTCTAATGGTATCTAATGACCCATGACATTAGTCTGTTTATGGGTGGTGTCATTTAAGGGGTAACAGAGATGAATCGAGTTGTTATCTGACGAGTTGCCAATGACTTATTTCCATTCCTAGGTAACCCCCTCCTATGGCCGGGGTAGCAATTATGTCTTTTGGAACTAGGTAAAGAGGCCACTGGTATGAGTTCTTCTCAGATAAGCATCCCCCCTGATGGTCTCCCCCCCTATTCTCTGGACAAAAACCTGTGGAGCTACTGACTTGGAAAACTTTTTCCAGAAACTGAAGTCCACACCACATCAGAAACTCAAAACTAAAGCCCATGGAAAAATCACGCGAGAGACATCTCCTCCGAAATTTCCTGACATTCATCCCATTTACTTGGGGGAGGAAATGAACGTCTCTTTGTCACTTGGTTTTGGATGGAGCTTGATAAATATAAACTGATCAGATGACTTTGCCGTTTCTTTGGGATTTACCGTGCATCCCTACCAGCCTGTTTTAAGGAAGCTGATTTTATGACTTTGAAAGATGTCCACAAACAGCATCTAATGAGCAGCCCGAGAGACCGCCCGGGACGTCTCTGGGGGAAAGTGGGGGTGGGGAGGAGTGCAGATAAGTCCCAGCCAGAGGAGGACTCAGCAGTGTCTTCGGAACACGAAACGGATTCAGGAGACATGAAGAACCAGTCATTTGGCCATTTTTGGAAATGCAGTAGACATTATGTCTGGCATTACGTCCACAAAACGTTTGAACGATGGAGCATTAAACCCTTTCTTACTGCTACAAAAAACAGACACGGCCTGGAGGGTTAGGATGTGCCCTCCCTTTGATTTTTGATAGTCAGTTGCACCACATCACACTTGGGCTAAGTATCGATGAAACCTAGGATTTTCTTCGGACTTAGGGGCCGAATCCTGTCTCTCTTTTCCCTGAGTTGGGCGTAGGTGCCGTGCGGAACATGGACTCACTCTGGGCTTTTATGTCTCACTCCAGGGACACCCCAGAGCCTGGGACTCCCTCTGGGCCCACATGACCTTTTGTTTTTAAATAGCACATCTTTTGAGGTGCCCAGGACATGACCACTTGGCTTAGCATCTATCAAAAGTATTCAGGGGTTTAGGGCTCAAAATGTTGGTGCTGGAAGGAACCGTAGCAAACCCTCGTCTGTCTTATTTTAAAAATGGGGAATCTAAAATGAAGCAGCGGCTCTCATCCCAAATGAAATTGCAAAGAACCGGGCTCTAGACTTTGCTCTCCTTTCTCCGAGCCTATCCCAGTACCGCATGTACCACCTCGTGCCTTTGCATGGACTAGTGACAGGAAAAGAAGGGAAAAAAACCCTTTAAAAGGCTTAGAAAAAGTTGCTTTCAACAAGAATCACTTATTTGTAATTAATAGAAGATAAGTCCTCAGGAGATGCAAATTTGCTACTTGAGTCATCGAAGGGGCTATAAGCAAACTATTAGTTTAAAAGTTACTTTCTCTTAAGTACCATATTAAACAATGATCAGCATTATCGGTGACCTGATCTTTCTCTTCAGGAGAACTCGGGTGAAAACCATGAATGAAATGCAGCGCTCGAGCAGCTTAATATCTGATTTATGAAGTGATAAGCAGCCGGGGCACCTACCGCACCCGGGCGCCTCCATCCCCAGGGCTCACCTGCAGCCGGACCGCGTGCTCGTGTTTCCGCTTCATGTCATTGATGTGCCAGGCGACTCGCTGCATCGTGTCTATAGCGTCGAGCACCACGTCATAGCCTTCTGTGTCCTTGTCAAGGTGATTTTCTATTTCCTTAAAAAACAAACAAACCCCAAACTAGTTATTTTCCATCTCACCCCCCTCCCTGGGTTGGTTAGTCAGTGAAACAAATGGTACCTCTGTGATTAGTTCCTCATATTTTATTTTTGCTTATTTATTTACACACGACCACCATTCCTTAAGCTTTTGAGATAACTTACTGGAAATACCTACAAAATGGTAAGACAGGAAAGAAAATGGAGCTAGGGAAATCAGAAGTGGATTCGAATTTCATGATAAACAGGATAAAACAAAGCGTGTATACAGGCCAGCCTCATAGAGGTATTTCAGTTGTTATAATAGATATGAGAGCTGACATTATAGTTGGGGATCTCTGAGCTTCCTGGTGGTCAATGTGATACAGTTCTCACTCTTACAAGATGGAAAACAGACTTACTATTTTTCTCCCCAAGAAAGTAAAACATCTCACACAGGACTTAATACTTAACAGACTTGAAAATATAGTGGACGTTATCTTTAAAAAAATAACAACTTCTACAGCAAGTGCATTTTCATGTAGTCAAGGCTTTAAAGCCCAAATGAAGTTCACCAAAGACCATCCTTCAGAGCCGAGGAAGACCTTCTGGTTCGAGCACTCACTCTGATGGTCAGCACTGAGCTTAGTGCTGGGGTTCACAACCCCCGGGAGATGAGAAAGGGGCACAATCTCTGCTCTGATTCTTTCTAGCACATAAGACACATGTCCCCAGGATCCTCCAGAGTGTAAGGACAGGGGCTATTGCAGAGTTCCTTTAATCCTTTATCTTCTCAACAGTGCCTACCAGAGAGTTGGGTGGTCAATAAATGCACATTAAAATGAAGCTGTATCTTCTTAAAAGTAGGGGGGAGGGTGTGTGGGTGAAGAGAGATTAACCTAAGAACGTATGTGCATGTATGCATAACCCATGGACACAGACAATAGTGTGGAGAAGGCCTGAGTGGAGGGGTGCAGGGTGGAGGGGATCAATGGGGAAAAAAAGGGACATTTGTAATACTTTCAACAAAAAAGATTAAAAATAAAAAATAAAAACAACAGTAACCCTATGTAAATATGTAAAACAATAAGAAGACATCATAGTCTATTAGATCATTCCCATGACATTCATCACCCATATTCATTAAGCTAACAGATGGAGGCTGAACCTTATGGTATAACTTATGAAGATTAGCTCTATTACTTTGTAGTCAAACTTTACAAATCTTTACTTTTCCTGAGTATTCAAGTTTTCCGTCTAGTCAGAAACTGGAAAGGAATTTACATTTTCCTCCCACACTCAGAAAGGTCCTATGAAAGGGTATCTCACCAAACTGACAACTCCCAGGTAAGCTCAAGGTCAACAATAAAGTTAGAAAATAACCACCAATTTCTTCTTTTAGTCTGAAGGGCAATCCTGTTCAACAACAACACACTCAGGAGTGCAGAGCGTATTCCTGCGGGGATCCTCATGGATGGCCACACAACTCTGAAGTGAGCTGAGTGACAAAGAAGGAACACACTCTAAGTAAACATTAAAAGCAAAAATACTTCAAAGGCAACCCGAAGCTAGCTTTCGATTGATCTAACCACTGCTCTTCCCTTTCTTCTTTATTACCAGCTGTTACAGACTGAATGTTTGTGCCTCCCTGAAATTTGTATGTTGAAATCCTAACCTCTAATGTGCTGGTCTTTGGGAGGTGATTAGGTCATCAGGGTGGAGCCCCTACAGAGTTAGGGTCCTTACAGAAGAGTCCCCAGAGAGCTCTCTTGCTTCTTTAATCTGTGTGAGAAAACGAGAGAAGGGAGTCTGCAGCCCAGAGGAGGGCTCTCACCAGACCTCAGCCACGCTGGCATCCTGACCTCAGGTTTCCAGAAACTGTGAGAAATAAATGTTTTTGCTTAAGCCACAAAGTCTATAGTACTTTGTTGTAAAGCCAGATTAAGACACTAGCTCTTAATTTAGAGAATAAGGGCCGATTTCCTATCAATTAAGGTTTTGAAAGGATCGTGATTTGTTATATCTAACAAGCTTATGTAACTGAGATCTTAGACTTTTCATTGACGACCACACTACTGTCTAGAAGGCCCTATTAGAGATGGGCGGGACATACCAGTCTTAGATGTCATATTAGTGGAGTCCAGCAGAGATTGATCCTGGGACAGGTATTATTTAAGAATTATTTGGGCCTGGCCGGTGTGGTTCAGTGGTTGAGTGTTGATCCATGAACCGGGGATGGAGGTTTGATTCCCTGTCAGGGTTGCAGGCTTGATCCCCAGTAGGGGGCATGCATGAGGCAGCCGATCAATGACTTTCTCATCACTGATGTTTCTATCTTTCTCTCCCTCTCCCTTCCTCTCTCCAAAATCAATTTTTAAAAAAACATATTAAAAAAAGAATTATTTGGACACTGATTTAGCAAATGAATCCAGTAACCTAAGAAGTTATTAGTATCAATTTAACAAAGTACTATCCCTGATGTGGTCTCAGGGGACACAAGATTCTCCAAAGATGAGCCACCCAGGCAAACAGACAAAGCTGAGAAAGTCCTGGTAAAGTTGGAACATAAGAGTTCTTATAATTTTAGATGTGTGTGAACTGAGCAATCCTGGAACGATTTTCAAAATTAGAAACCTGGAATCATTTAAAAAGAGATACATATAAATTGCAGTGATGTTGATATGGAGAGAAACTCTGGGTTAAAATCTTTTCTTAAAAAATCTTTTAAGAAAATATTTTAATGTAGGATAAAAATAATAAGATAAAGTGAGTTTATTTTTACTGATTGCCTGTGATCTGCAGCACAGATGGGTGATGTATAGGATTGGAACCCAGGCAGCCTTGCCCTGGAGCCAGTCCCTAACCACTGCGCATATTGCACTGGCGAACCAGTCCTACCTACAGAGCGAAAGTTACTTTCAACACAACTTCTTTCCATTTTAATCTACTTCCTTCGATAAGAAATGAGACTATGAGGGCTATGTCTACCTTTGCTTCTAAAGCCTCCTTGAATTTTGTCCAAATAATGGGAAATGATATAAAGAAAAGACACCCTGAAGCAATGCTAAGCCCAGCTCAAAGATCATTCATCACGCTGCTCACCTGTCTTCTCCCCTTTCAGCCTCTTTGCTCCTACAAAAGCCGATCTGTGACAAATCGCTCTCCCTCCCAGCTGCCTACTGAATCTGGGCCCGTGGAAGTAAAATAAAACATAAAAAACCTGGTTTTCATTAAGCTGATAGCTCCCTGCCTGAAACTGTCACTGCCAGAGTGAGGTGCTCCTGAGCCCCGTCGGAATCAGAGCTAAAACGAGTCTCTACTTGGCTGCCGTCAATGGGGCTGCAGGCCCAGCACATAAATATCTCTAATTCCTCAAAGCAGATTAGTCAGTTGTAAAGTATGAGTGTGGAAAACAGTTCCATATGTCCCCAGACTTTCCTGATATTTTTTTCCCCCTAAACACACAAAACCCCTGTCCTCTGGAAAGAACCTGAGCGCAGGCAGAAACGTACGTGCAAAAGGAGGTGATACTTGAGAATCCGCTGAACTGGTTTCAAGAGATAGGACCCCAGGGGCAGGGAGTGCTTCAGGGTTTCCTGCCGTTCCCTGAAGAATTTGGCCAGGGTCTTGTTCCTCATGCACTCTGTTAGCACAGCCACAGATCTGCAAGGAGAAGGGACTGTTAGCGAAACTGTAATGCTGAACGTGGGCATGCAAGCTTTACCTGCCGGTGTGGGCAAGCAACAGGGCTGTAGCTAGACAAGAAGGCCCGTGGGCAAGTCAGACAAAGGCGTCCCTCTGGGTGGGTGAATCAGAAAGAGGCACCTAACAGCGACATCCCGCCCACAGACACATGGCCTCTGAGCAGCAAGCTCCTTCCTCCAGGGATCCGGCCCCAAGGACATACGGCTTAGCCGAGGGGATTCCCACTGGCTGTAGCCCTGGACTGCGCACCATCTGGGTGTCTTTGCGCAGTGCTCAAACCACACATCTGCATTCAGTTCCCACAGGTCAGAGTGCAAGGAGGGGCCACCTTGGTGCTGGGAAACAGCAGCTCCTCCGTCCCCGTAGATCCAGCTGCACGCTGGGCATTGTCGCCCCTCTGCCTGTCGTCTGTATAACGCACAAACTGTATGGCATTAGATGCAGGTCTTTGGAGACCTTGTCCCGCAGGTCAGCCTCCCCTTGAGAATCTTTGAACAGATCCCTCTTTGCACCTCCAAGTGGCTCCGCTTATTCTGAAGGTGGCCTCTGAGACAGCTGGATGACCTTGCTCCTTAAGGAGTGCACCTCACAGAGTGTATCACAAAAGAGGGCCAGGGTGCCTTCTCCACCTCAGCTCCCCAAAGGTACTAAGGACGGCCCCCAAGAGCCCCAGGGGAACAGCTGAAACAATGCTCAGATCTCGTATATAAAGCAAGCTAGTGGGCTTGTGCAGTCACACACACATACAAATTAAAATTTTATGGTCTCGTAACTTAGAAGGAAGCAGGTGGAAGTCATTTCTCCCCGAGTCAGTAATCTGCTTTCAGGATTCATTTAGAAAACCAGGCAGAGCCAAACAACAAAATGAAACTCCTTGGAAGGGAGTGAAATGCAGGTCTCCTGTATTAAGCTATTAGAATCCCTTTGGAGCCCACCTGCTTTGAGAAATCTCTACTCAAACAGGTTTGTTTCCCCCCTAAGTTGAGATTTCAAAACAGTTTTTTCATCACGTAACCACGGAACTTTTGTCAGGCTCTGGCGAGTCAGAAGCGGCTGCTCAGTAGCCACTGGCCATCTGAAGGCTGGAGCTTTTGTGCAGGGTAAGAAACCAGCTGCACTCCTGAGCGCCCTGCCCTCCAGATTCAGGGCACAAGGGGACACCTGAGGACAATGACCTAACTGAGCCCAGGCCCCTCCCTGGGAGAAGGAGGGAAGCCTTGAATCTCTCCAGGGAGAAATCACTGGGGCGTGACTGGTATGGAGAAGGTGGACATCTGTCAAGAAGGTGGACAAATGTGCTGGCGACATTTAATATCACCAGCCTGGATCCGCAGGGGAAGACAAGTTGTCAGATGGGCTGAGACACCTGGCACTCTTGGCTTAAGATGGGAAAGGAAACTTTGGGCGCTTGAGAGCAAACTGACTGGAGACCAGGGCACGAGAGGAAAACCTCTCCTGTGACTATGACAACACAGAACTGGGCAAGAACTGCTTGTGCCTGCTTCACTGAGAGTGCCTTTAAAATTTTTTTTTTTTTAATGAGAATGTCTTTAAGCATCTCTAACACATTTTTTTTCCCCTTCAAGTCAGACTCAAAATAAAAAAACACTTCCTCCAAGAAACTGTCCCTAACTCTGCTCTCTGGGACTTACTGCTCCTTCATCTCAGTATATTTCGCTTCTACTGAGTTCATACTATATTCATTTGTATTTATTAATTGGATCTTCTCTAGCTCGCTCTTCCATGATTGCAATCAGGTGGGTTCTGGCCCAGGTTGAGGACCTACTGTGTGCCCAGCACTGTAGGCTGTCCTGATTTGCTTCAGTCCCTGGATATCTCTGGATTCTGTGGAAGTTACATTCAGCAATATTTGTACTTAAAGCATTTTACACAGTGATTAGGAATCAATAAGTGCTCCATAAATGTCTTTTGCACAAAAACGAAATTCAGACAGTGTGACCCATGGTCTTGGGCCTGACTCCCTTACTGAAATGGTCAATGTGTTGTCCAGGGGGTGCTCCCTAAGCTGCCCACCTGCCAGTGCTCCCAGGGTAAGCAACACGGAGGGAGTGATCCAGTGAGACCGTGAGTCCTCTCTTCTTGCCTAAGCTCATTGTGATCTTTCCTGTCTCTGAACTCCAGAAAACTTATACAGTTCATAGAACTTGTATAGCAAAACTATAACAGATTTCTTCTCCAGCCAGATTAGATACACTCAGGGGCAGTGCTTCCGAGATTTTAAAAACATGGCCCACATAGAAGAGGGTTGAGAGACAAGACTTCTAGCCAAACACACAGGTTTACTTGGTTTTCCGTTGAAGGCCACCCAGCAACATTTTTGGTCTCTTTGAAGGTCTTTCATGATCTTCCCAGCGTGGCTCTGCTGGGAGCCCAAAGCCTGAACGGATCAGTGTCTGGGGACCCCTCTAATTCATGCTCAGCAGCTTTTCCAGTTTCCCCACGGTCTTCAGCCCAGTGCCCCACCCCAACCCATATCGGACTGACTGACTTGAAACAACCCAAGAGTGCAGAACACTCCTGCTCATTCCCAAAGCGTACCTGGGGTAGTTGGTGCAGTACTGGGTGTAAATGTGGAACTCTTCACTCTGCAAGGCAACGAGAGACTTTTATAGGTGACAAGCAGACACATCAACCTTCATTCATAAACAACGAAAAGAAACAGCATCCATGCCTGTCACCTTGGATCTCTGACAGCGTGAGCCTGTCTCCTGAGCCCTGGGGGCAATCATCTGTGCCTTTTCATCTATCTCATGTTATATCTAGAACCCACGTGCACTTGAGCTCCTTGGCGCTCAATAAGCACTCACTGAGCATCTGCTGAGTTGGGGAAATGTGAAGGTGAAGAGGAAGGGGAGGAACATAAGGTTCCCGCCCAGGTGCTCAGAGTCCTTCGGGGGCCTTGCAGTGTGGGAGAGGAATGTGGGTAGATGACTTAATGTCCTGTGGTAAGAACATGTTAGAAGTGTGTGCGGGGCAGGAGAAAGCTGCTATAGTGTCTGCAGTTATCTCCGCCCACTGGCCTTATATTAACTGTTTGCTACCCTGCAGCCTGTGGTTGGTTTGGGAAAGGCAGGACAAAGGCCTGACACTTCTCCTTAATTTCACAATAATGCACCACTTCTCCAGCACCCTGCGCAGGGCTGGGGTGTTTAAAACATCACTGTGAATTCATGAATATAAACACAGTTCATGATTTGCGGTGTTTTGAGTTAGTTGTCTTTGCTGATGCTCAAATGATCCGGCCCTTGGCCAGTAGGAGCCTCTTCTTGAGTACTGGTGACCTGAGCCACAGCCACCAGGAGCTTCCTCGTTTCCTGCTGTGACAACGTGTTCCGCACTGTCCTGTGCGTCTCCCTCCCACACTTCTTCACGGAGCCCTGGTTCCCTTTGGTAGAAGGGTGTTTGGAAACCACAGTGGGAGCATCAGGGATGCTCTTTCTGCCAGGTTAATAACTATTTCTAGGCCTTTTCCGTGGACATTTAGGGAAATGGGGAAATGGTGTTTTTAAAAGATGAAATGCATCCTGAGCTCATACTAATACTTGCAATTCAGACCCACAGCTACAGCGTTTTTATGAGCCTTCCTCCTAGTCCATGTTTCTTTCCCCTACCAATTCCAGTTCTCAATGACACTAACGCAAATGCTCACTTGCTTTATCCCACAACACACTCAAGAATGTCAGGATAGCAACACCAACACCACCACGTGTGAGATCATTACAGCAAAACCGTTAGGGATGTATTTGCTGAATTTTGGCTATAGCACGTTTTCTAATCAGTTGGAATTTCCTCTGCATGATTATGTCACAAACCAGACACACAGTTAGGCTCATTGTTCCATTTTGCTTTCAACTTTTGGAGACTGCTTTTTAAAACTTTAATTTGGCTTTATAATTATGTAAAATGTGTACATGGTTTCACAGTCAACTCTACAAGGAAATGCATATGCAAAGAAGTCTGGCTTCTATTCCTCTCCATTCTAGATTATTTTCTTCCTTCCCCTATCAGATGCCAATATTTAATTGTACAGCTTACCCGCTATTTAAAAAAAAAAAAATNTAATTATGTAAAATGTGTACATGGTTTCACAGTCAACTCTACAAGGAAATGCATATGCAAAGAAGTCTGGCTTCTATTCCTCTCCATTCTAGATTATTTTCTTCCTTCCCCTATCAGATGCCAATATTTAATTGTACAGCTTACCCGCTATTTAAAAAAAAAAAAATACACATTTAAGTATAGGCATGTCCTCTCCATTCCTAGATAAATAAAAACAAGCTGTGCCAGCAACTTGCAAACTTGTGTGTCTCAGAATCACTTAGAGGGCTCATANATTCCTCTCCATTCTAGATTATTTTCTTCCTTCCCCTATCAGATGCCAATATTTAATTGTACAGCTTACCCGCTATTTAAAAAAAAACAAACACATTTAAGTATAGGCATGTCCTCTCCATTCCTAGATAAATAAAAACAAGCTGTGCCAGCAACTTGCAAACTTGTGTGTCTCAGAATCACCTAGAGGGCTCGTGAAATACAGATACTGGGCTGCACCCCAGAGTTTCTGATTTCGTAGGTCTGGGGTGGGGCCTGAAAATTTGCTTTCAAACAAGTTCCTAGATGGGGCTGGTCCAGGAACCACACTTTGAGAACCACAGTGCTATCCATACTTTTATCCATTCCCCTTGACACGCTCTGCCCCTCCCTACTATTATATAGAGATATTCTTTATGTGCTTTGATAGCTTCACTATACTCCATTACATGTTTGCTCAATTAGCTTCTTGTTTATGGACATCTGAGGTGTTTCTACATATTTCTATACATATACGTATATGTGCATATATATACGTATATGTGCATATATATAAATGTGTTCCTATAAATTGTATATATCTATACATTGTAACCATTATTACTGCAAAGAATAACATTCTAATTATTGAATTTCTGTCACCCTGTCTTTGGAGGAGATTCCTGGAAGTAGAATTGCTGGATTAAAGGGTGCGTTCAGATGTAGTTTTGCTAGATGGAGCCAAATTCCCTTCCATAGGGTCTGTGCCATTTAGTTTTCCCATAATTATGGGAGTACCAGTTTCTCCATGGCCTGGCCAATTTAGAAGGCTGCCAATTTTTCAAGCATAGTACTGTAAAAAAATCTAAATGAGTTGCCAACTTTTAAAAGCTAGATGACAAAAATATCTTGATTTCTGGTTTCTCCTGAAGAAGTAGTAGATTCACTGGTCCCAGGCCCACAGGTTCGTATGACACTTCTGTCCGCACGAGACCAGGCAAGTACCTAGGTGGCTGCAGCCTCTACCTGGGCCCATTTATGCACTGCATCCACGGTTTAGCTCCTGAAAGTCCCAGAAGGCCAGCCCTGGCTGCATGGCCAAGAAAAGCAGAGTGATCTCCCCAAGGTCATCTAGGAAATTAATGTCAGACCGGAGCCTTTCTCAGGGTTTGCTCACACTCTGTTTCCTGCTACTTTCCTGCTTCCTGCTACACTCGACCTGGGATAGAACAATATCAGGTTGACTTTCCTTAAATTTTGAGTTTAGGATCATCTGAAATACCAAACTTAAAAGCAATGACCTCAATGAAAATGTCTAAATTACATCATATATTTGAACTACACAGACTTGTCCCTAATAAGGCCCCAAGACTTCTGTGCAATTGAATTTCTGTATATATATTCTGATATCATGGCTCTAGTCCTATATTAAATGAGAGGGATTTGATTTAAATTGGCTACATATTCTTAATACAGGACTCAATGCATATATGATCTTAGACTTGTAGGATCTGTGAACAACTAAACAATCGTTTTACACAAAAGTCAATAGCTCCTAGTTAGTTAATCCTTAAATGCTTATTATAATACATGCCACTCAAATCCTTTTCAGAAGTATTTAGGGGAAATGAAGGCAATGATAAGAAATTTTACAAAAATAGATACTGCCTTTCGGTTATTCGACTTTCTCAAATTCCAATTAGAGATGAGTTGGGGCTGTTCAATTGGACACAAGGGGCATGCAAATGTTTACTGAATGACTAACCAGAGGAAAAAATCTGTATGATTTGAAGGCTTCTTCTGCCACAGGATCTCTCTCTCTCTCTCTCTCTCTCTCTCTCTCTCTCTCTCTCACACACACACACACACACACACACACATTCTTGAGACGTTTCCCTGGACACTGAGAAAGGCTTCATATGTAAAGAGCACATGGGTCAGGTACCATTGACCTGATACAGATACGGGACAGCAGCAGTTCCTGGGGATACTTTCAATACGTGTGCGTGTGTGCACACACGTGTGCATGTCTGGGCGCTGGCCGGAGAAAGGCAGCAATGAGAGGAAGGCCAGGCCTCAGGGGAGAGGAGGCGGTTCATAAGGGGAGGTTGGGTCTCTGAAGACAAACTTATCTCCTTGCTAAATGTTGCCCAGGGTCAGCCCAGGTGACAGTTAAGAGAAGGGATAGCACGGCCGGGCGTGGCTCAGCAGTTGAGCGTTGACCCAGGATCCAGGAGATCGGGGTTTGATTCCCGGTCAGGGCTCAATCCCGGGCTGGGGGCGTGCAGGAGGCAGCCGATCAGTGACTCTCATCATTGATGTTTCTCTCTCTCCCTCTCCTTTCCTCTCTCTGAAATCAATAAAGATATATTTTTTTTTTAAAAAAGAGAAGGGATAGAAAAGAGGGTGGGGGTAAAGGCAGGAAACAGAGGTTAAAGCTGTTCCAGGGGCCTCTGGAGTCCTGAGAGCAGTCAGGTGCTCAGGCGGGGGCAGCTAGGCCTCCCCGGCAGGGCCGTTCAGCTCTGTCCCCGAGGGAAAGGCCTCTGCACTCCCGCTCCCCTTCTACGAGCAGCAGCAGGTAGGACGTGCGCCCTGCTTCTCCCGCTGTCAGTAAGGATCTCTGCAACCCACCCAGACCACAAGAGCGAGGTCAAAGATGAATCTCTGTGCAGGCCCCAGTGATCCAGATAAAAGCCCAAGTCAACCGCCAGCTTTACTTCTTTCGTTAATGGCCTCTCAATTAGAGCAATTTTCCATTCCTCCCGGAGCCGAGCAGCTGCCTGCGTTTCGGGGAACGGAGCATCCTCTGAATTTCAGGGTGCTGAGTGAAGGGCGGGCTGTGCCAGGACCAGGCACTCCCCCCACTCCCTGCTTACATGTGAAAGTGCAGAGGGCCCGAGCCGGTCTTCTAATTAAACTTGGCACCATTACAGTGAAAAATGAGATTTGGGAGCTGGCAACGTGGCACATAAACAAACTTTTATGTGAATAATTAAGCCGGCACTAAGCATATGCTGGACTGTCTTTAATCAACTTGTGATTACAGTTACCAGTAAAAGCCCAAACGTCTCCAAGAGCCTCCGTGTTGTTTATGCGCTGTGGTTATTTTAACATATCTTCTTTGATATACTTGGCATATCTTTTGACCCATTTCTCCCGCTTTCATTTTCCTTCCCTTTTTTCATATTCCTACACCCTTTAGGAGAATTAATTATGTCACAGGCAACTTGTGAAAAGAATTGTAGGCAACCATGTATGCACAAACATTTCACAAGTTAACACACCAGCACCAATACCCACCCACCAAGTCAGGAGTGTTTTATGTACAAGGCCATCAACTGCCTTTGAGGAACCACACTTCCATAAAACCCAGAGTGTTATGTTTGGAGCCAAAGCCATGGGATGGATCTGCAGCCATCACAAATGACCCTGGGGAGCAAGTGTGGGGCCAGGTCAGGCTGGGAGGACATCTCCGAGTTCCCATTGGACTTGCATGGGGCTCTGGAGCTTGAAATGAAGTGTGAATTCTTGGTTGATCCCAGGGCACCGTCATGAGCTTTGCTTAAACCTTTGTACATGTGAAGCCCTACAAAACCATCGATGCAGCTTAAGAAGAATGTAGGGAGATAAGAATGCATTTTTAAGATGTAAGAGATTAATTCTGCTTCTCTTTAATTCTGGCCCAGACAAAGTTTTGCTGCAAAACAATTTCTGCTAGAGGTTTTCCAAACAAAAGCTGTCGAATGTTTCAGAGAAACTTAAGATAGGAGTCGACACATCGTGGGTAGCACGTCCAGAAAGTAACACTGGAAAGGGCTGCTTTGCTGGTTTCAGAATTCCATCTCCTATCCGGGCACAGAGTATGAACCGACTGTCATTTAAGCTTTAAAAGTCAAATCCTTTCCTCGTGTTTTTCTAAACCATCAATGCAGCTTAAGAAAAACAGAGGGAGATAAGAATGCATTTTTAAGATGTAAGAGATAAATTCTGCTTCTCTTGATCCCCTAAACAATAATCATATAGCCTAGGCTAGTGCCCTATATATTACATATAAAATATTTACAGTCTACCTGGTCTAGTGGTATTTTATATTTACTTCTTTTTCTAACATTCTTCTATTCCGGATTTTCCCCAAATTTAAAGTTTTTCTCTAGGAAAGACGAGTAACATCATTGGTTACTATACAAATTCCAGGACAACTACTAACTTAGTATTTTCTAATTTACTGGGGACAGTAACAGTATTTTTTTTTTCCCTTGCTGGGAAAAAAAGAAAAAGAAAAAAAGAAACCAGAGTGAGAGAGATTAGTGGCTAACTTCACCCAGCATGAAACAAACAAGTCATTTTAACGGTAAAATGAAAACAATTTGTACTCTGTATCTGTCTTGCTGGCCCAGAGAAATGAACTCTGCTTACCTTGGACACAAAACACTCTGCTATGGCCACGGGGTCATTTTCACAGTTTTCCAAATCTTGCAAAAGTTCACTAATAAAAAAATAATAGAAAATATTAGATTGTAATCTTATGGTTGAGGACATTTTAACTTATAAAAGTTTAAACATTTATATGGCCTTTAGAAGGAATCACTTAATTGGATAACTGAGGACCTATTGTCATTATATGCAAGGCTTAGATAAGGGACTTGCCCAAGGTCAGGATGGAACAGGGATTTAAACGTTGGTCCAAACTATAACTCTCCCACCCTGAGATAAGCTCTAACATTGAAGTCTTCTAGATGTTTCTCATTGCCTGCATGGGTGCTCACACACACTCATTCAGTCATCAAATAGCTTTCCAGGTAATGTGTAAGCACTAAGAGCAAACATATCAGTGAGCGAACTGAGACATGGTCCCCGGTCTCCTGGAGCTTGGAATCCATTGGAAGAGTAAGACATTCAATGAAAAATCACGTTAACGAACATAAAATTTTAAACAAAGATAGCACTCTACAGGAAAGATATGCTAGGGAAGAAAATATATATTTTTCAGATGTAAACCTATCATTTTTAAATAATTCATTATTTGAAGGAACTGCATAATAATTCTTTGGGTGGATGCAGCATAATTAATTTAACTAATTTCCCACTATTGGATAAAATTCTGCCAATGGAATTGCTGGGTCAAAGAGCATTCTCACTGTAAATGTTAACACATTTCCAAATTGCACTTCACATAAGTTGTATTAATATATATTTTACTATGCTAGGTGTCAGTTTTAATTAGCTGTGCATTACATATTTAATAACTCAAATAGTCCTGCGTTCTGTTTCCCACCTTCGATTGCCACTCTCTGGAAGCATGTTTGGCTGGAGTGGTCTCTGCTGAATTATCCATGTTTCTAGACATGCTGATACCACATGTTCACTGTTCTTCAGTGTTACACAGTATTTACTTCTGAATTTCCCCAGACCCGCCCTCTTCCCATCTTCTCAATGAGTTCTATTGTGAAATTTGATTAAACTCAGAGCTTACATTTTTAGATATTATTACATTTTAAATATTATTCTCAGCCGAGCCTTGCAGCACACCATAATTGCATTTCCTCTCTTGTATAACCATGCTTTCCCTGGAGTTAAAACTGTCTGTCTGTCTGTCTCTTTTTTTTGCTTTGTATCAAAGCACACACCACTAATTTGTCCTCAAACTCTGCACCAGAAGTATAACTCTTGTCTCACTGTGTGCAAACATCAGATCACCCCCTGGTTGCATTCTTTCCTGGTGGCTTCCCTCCCAGCCCTCTGTCCTTCCGCTCCCACCTGAACAGGTTCCTGGGTTCTCTCTCCAACACCATCCTGACCAGGCCCTTCACCTGGTTCCTGTGTTGGAAGCCTTGTTTCTTAGATACCATTTCAGATGTATTCCCTCCTTTGGGAGGTTACAATGGCCGGCAGCATTCTGAGCAGGGGTAATAGGTGGTAAGTCTCCTGAGACTCTTCTTATTTCAGAATGTTCTCCCTTCATGCCTGGCTGATCATGTCAGTAGATATAGAATTCTTGGTTGGAAGTGATTTTCTCTGAGTACTCAGGAAACTATCTGTTGTCTCATGAATTCCAATGCTGATGAGAATAATATTCTGATTTATAATCCAGGTTTCACGTGACCTATTTCTTTGGAAGCTTTTGGAGTTTTCTCTTTGTTAACATAATTCTGAAATTCTGTGATGAAATTCTGTGATGGGTTAACATAATTCTGAAATTCTAGTGAGAAGAGTAGCATTGCTTTACATTTTTGCAAATCTCTAATGTCTACCTTAACCCAGATGGATTCTCATATCTGCTTCTGCATTCAATCTATTGCAATTTGTTATTTTGGTTGACGTATATAGGAAAAAGCCCAGCCTCACATATGTTATTAGAAAAGGGAGGAATATTTTACTAGCCTTTCAGATAAGTGGGGATCTCTTTCTTGGATATTACACTGAAACTCAACAAGTGGTAGTTTCTTGAGGTTTGTCATGGAGTCGAAAACCACACTGATGGACTATACCGTTACTTTAAAATTCACTGGTCTATCTTACACTTTGAAAGGATCTTTTACCAAATGTATGATTTCAGGAGAGTCCCAATTTCAAACATTCTTTCCTGATATTCTTATAAAAACATTCCCTTTGTAACATTGCTTTTAGTTTGGAAAATATAGCTCTGATATTTATATCAATATCTTTTACAGGAGCATTAGAGATCTTGCTCCCGGCATACGTCATCAGTTTGGCTCAAATAAACTCTTATAATAATTCCAAAAAAAATCTTTTATAGAAAGATGGGTATGATTAAATTAAAGACAGTTGAAATCTAATCACTGGGACCCAAACACTGGATGGAGATAAAAGGTTGAAGAAAAACAATAGCTGCAGAAGCAAGGTTTCTGGACGAGTGTTTCCCATTCCTGGAGGATGCCGTGCTTTGGCTGTAGGCTTTGTGTCCATTCTTTCAATATAAATCTTCTTTCTGAGCACAGAAGAATTCTGAGCAGAATCCGTCAGGTCACTTCTCATAGCTTAATAGAAAATACTCCTTGACAACATTTAACTTTTATTTTCTAAAAGTCATGCTCATCAAGCTCTCCTTTGAGCTTCAATTTCATCCCCAGAGTTGACTTGCTGGCAGGAGGCAGTGTCTCGGGCCCCACCCTGGCTCTGGTAAAGCTCACAGGTAAATGAGTGCTTGGCTCTCGTTGCTCAAGAACCACACTCTGGGAGGTTGCTCAGGCACCTTCCCATCCCAACCCCTAATTTTAAGGTGAGGAAATCATGGCTTGTTAAAAGGGAGGCGGCTTACCTTAGGTCACACAACTAATAATTACCGGCCACGGCTGGGGTGAGTGTCAGGGCTCTGAATGCCAGCTCTGCACTCTACTGGAAACTCATCTCTTGAGAGATTTGTCTCCTGGGTGACTCAGGCAGCTGAGGGCTGGGCTCTGCACCATGGTGCCTCAGCATGGTGCCTGCCTCCAGGGGAGGCCTTGTGTGAGTCCCTTGGCCAGCTTTCCTTTCCAACTCTTTTCTAAAATGGGATGAACACACTTAAAAGTGGAAACAGCGAGGAGGAAGTAATGGGATTTCGCTCATGCCCTTGTCCTCAGGGCTGCCATCCGGACACGGCCGGCCCACCACCTCGCCTGCTCTCCATTCAACACCGTAATTATTGAAAGTCGCCTGTTCAGTGTCAGGCGCTGTTCCAGGCACTGGGGTTAGGGCGTAAGGCACACAGACAAAGGCTGGTCGCCCGGCGCTGCGTTCTCATCGGGGTGGTAAGTGTTAACAACTGAATAAATGAAAACACAATATCAAACAAAAGACGGCAAATGTTGGCGAGGAGGTGGGGAACTGGAGCCCTGGTGCGCTGTTCCCGGGAACACAAAATGGTGCAGAGCAGTATGGAGGTTCTTCAAAAAATAATAAAAATTAAAAAACCAGAGCTACCATAGGATGCAGCAATCCCGGTTTGGGGCATTTACCCAGAGTTGAAATCAGGATCTTGACAAGATCTGAGCACTCCCATGTTCCTCGCAACACTTAACCAAAGTCGAGATGCAGAAACAACCCGAATATCCACGAATGGGTAGAAAATACGGAACGTGGAAGATGCTACCATGAAATATGAGATACCACGGATGAAGCTTGAGGACATTGTGTTACATGAAATAAGCCAGTCACAGAGAGACAAACACTGCGACGATTCCACTTATATGAGGGACCAAAACCCGTCAGACCCCTACCCTGAGAGTAGAATGGTGGGGGGCCGGGAAATGGGGGGGCTGCTGATCAACGAGCACGAAGCTTCAGCTGACAAGGCGACTAGATCCCAGGGATCCGCTTACACCACTGCACCCACGTGAACCATTAACGCATCACACACTTAGAAATTTATTAGGGCGGCTCATCTCACGACAAGTATTCTTACACAATAAAATCAAAGGTTAAGAACCCAGGAGAAACCCACACACCATAGCACGTTATCACTTAATAAGAAACGTGAAAAATAATAAAGTACTGGTTTCACTACAAAACAAAGCAAGTAAGAAAGCGCCCTGATAACACACTGTACTGTGTGATACACA